AGCCCTCCAGAATGGTTCGGTAGTCCTTGGCAGTGACGCGCCCATCTAGCACAAGTATGGGGCCAAGGGAATGCCATGATATGGCAGCCCAAACCATCACTGATCCACCCCCATGCTTCACTCTGGGCATGCAACAGTCTGGGTGGTACGCTACTTAGGGGCTTCTCCATACCGTAACTCTCCCGGATGTGGGGAAAACAGTAAAGGCGGACTCATCAGAGAACAATACATGTTTCACATTGTCCACATCCCAAGATTTGCGTTCCTTGCACCATTGAAACCAACATTTGGCATCGGCACCAATGACCAAAGGTTTGGCTATAGTGGCCGTGTACATTGACCCTGTGGAGCTCTCGGCGGACAGTTTTGGTGGAAACAGGAGAGTTGAGGTGCACATTTAATTCTGCCGTGATTTGGGCAGCCGTGGTTTTATGTTTTTTGGATACAATACAGGTTAGCACCCGAACATCCTTTTCAGACAGCTTCCTCTTGCATACACAGTTAATCCTGTTTGATGTGGTTCGTCCTTCTTGGTGGTATGCTAACATTACCCTGGATACCGTGGCTCTTGATACATCACAAAGACTTGCTGTCTTGGTCACAGATGCGCCAGCAAGATGTGCACCAACAATTTGTCCTCTTTTGAACTCTTGTATGTCACCCATAATGTTGTGTACATTGCAATATTTTGAGCAAAACTGTGCTCTTACCCAGCTAATTGGACTTTCACAGTCTGCTCTTATTGGTTCAATGTGCAATTAATGAAGATTGGCCACCAGGCTGGTCCAACTTTTTTGTGAGGATTATTTTATTTATTGTCTACATTTATGTATATGATTTCTTTTTAGTCAGGATTATGACAAAAATATACATATATATATATATGTTGCTTGTATTGTGTGTCTATGTGTATATGTGCATATGTATATAACTTCCGATGACTTAATGTGCTCCTTTGCGCGATCAGTTGTGATAGTTCTCTTATGAGTTGGAAGCATACTTTATATGTTGGGTGTAAAATGTCCCTTCACGTCATGATCTGCAGCCCACAGGTTATTTGGTAAGCAGGACATTAATAATGCACAAAGCCTAGAGGTGACTTTGTCGGAGGAATATCATTGCAGGGCTTCCCTTAGTGTAGTACTCCTAAGATAACAACAGTATTCTTGAATGGATGGACATGACCATTTTCTGACTTGCATTTTCATCTTGGAAACACATGTTTCTATAAACTCATCACCATTGTGTGTTGGCTTTGTAAAACATTACCAAGCATTTTTTATTTATTTCTGGAATCCTACTCCAAGAGCCTGGCATTCTCCAATTCGTCATAACCAGACACAAATGTAATTTAATATTTGTTCTCGTCAATATACACAAAAAGTATATTAAACCCTTTTTTTTTTTACCAATATTGTCACAGCTTGATTTAATTATTAGCTGCAGAGAAGGAAGGTGCTGAAAGACATTGACTCTGACTAGATTAGATAAAGCTACTTTCTGATGTGGAGTCACACACACTATTGTTATAACAAATTGTGTTGAGACTGCTCTCCACTTTTGACAGACACATCTAGGCAGGGGTATTCCCCTGGTGGGAATAGCAACAGTTGTGGACCTAATGTAGCAATGATAAAGAAAACACACAGGCTCATGTGCTTTTATTGTCTTTTTTACCACCCTCCTTCCTCAGGGTAACAGTCTCTGTGTGGTCTTTGACTGGGGCAGGGAATTCAATCTACTACAAAGACAGATAGAAAAGAGAGCTGCTGTTGGGGCTTATGTCAGTATTGTGTCCAACAACTTATGTTTCTCTGTGTATGTGACGCAGACCAACCATCTCTGTTTCCTGTTATCGTTTCTCACTGAATCACCTAAGCAGATAACAACGTGTCTCATTCAGTTCATGAATGCATGATTAAAGCTTACAGTATAACTCGCTGAACAGGTCACCAGGACAGTAGCTCAATGGCTGACATGCACACGCTGTCACACCCTGCTTATCTGCTCTACCAAACACAGCATATTTTTCTCTCTTTTGTCCATTCAGTTTTAGATTTGACACCTTCCGGAGTGAAATTATTCAAAAACTTTCTCCTCAATGTATCCATGTTGACATTGCAAGCTGAGAGTTTGAGCAAGACAGCGTTTAATGCCCATCACCACTTTGTGTAATTAGCATTCAGTAGAATCCATGACATGTTTTCCGTAAACTTCTTCATTTGAATTATAGATTTCATTCATTTGTCTGACATAGATGGCTACTCATAGGTCCTCTTTCCCAATCATTCTAAATGAGTAACACACAACAATGTATAAAGTACATATTATTTATGCTGGATTGTGTTGCTTTGGTGCAGATTAAAAAACTGTGACATCAAGATGGAGTGTTAGCGCTTCAATTTCATTCCTTTCCTGGAAGAAACTTTTGATGTTACAAGCTGCAGTGCTTTTTAGATGCTTAATGATAAGTAGTGTGATTAATTTATCAAACAGTTTTTCAACTTTCAGCAGGCCATGAAGTTCTCTGCTCACCCATCTTACTTACTTTGGTCTTCTCTGCGCAGACTTTCAATTTTGTGACAGCGCATGAAAGCCATGTGCTGAAAAAATGTATTAGCAGATGTGGAGAATAAGTGAGTCAAGATGTCAGAGGGCTTTGTGACTGTGAATTTCAGTTACGCATGACAAGCTGATTTCTACTGATCAGATTATGGTTCCAAACTGGTCTGAGATTAAAAACTGCGTGTACTTCCTCTGAAAAAGCCACACAAGTAATTTGTCCATAGTCCTCAGAATAGCTACCAGTAGTCTCCTTTAATAGTGTGAGACTCACGTAACCATCATATGAAAAATGATAGGTTTGAATGTGTATACATTCAATTTTATAATCTAACAAAGAATTAACCTTTTTTTAAGTGTGTGTGTATCACAGCATGCAGCATCCAGATTCCACACAGCTAAGCAATGGCAGCTAATGTGACAATAACATGCCTATACAATGAAGACATCAAAACTGTATTTTCTTGCTTGAAGGAGGCAATAGCTTTATTAGAACAACTTCTAGAACAACTCTAGAAGTGTTTGTCAAAGTCACATGCTGTCCTGTCATCCCAAGTATATTTCTGAGATTAAGTTTTTTGGCTCTTTTCTCAGACTTATGCTTCTTCCCAATAATCCACTCGAGAAACAAGGCTTAGTGAACAGCAAAAATGTGTCTGCATTTGAACACTCCATGTTCACTTCAAATACTGACACAGTTTTTGTGTGATCACTGTTGAGTATCAATTTGTGGTTTGTAATAACTTCCAGATTGAGGATGTGTGTCTCCCCATCTTGGTAAATAAAATAATTTTCTGTGCAGTACTGTATTATGTTTTTTCCCTCCACATGTAGCTTTCATGTGATAAACCGAGAAAGTTAGCATCACATTAAGTTTTATTTAACAAACTGCGAAGAGAATCCATGATGGACATTTAAATACAGCTACTGTTGTCATCACTAACTATTCGTTTGAGTTTTTCCTTTTTCCCCCTTTCTTTTGAAAATAAAGGACTGACCGTCTTCTCACTTTTGATGATATAATATGTGAAAAGTGCGCTCAGCTGAGCTGAGTATGAAGCCATTTAATCACAGCGTTAACGACATTAGTTTTGAGAAGAAAGGAAAAGACAGACAGGGAGAAAAATTAGACTAACTACTAAACTAAACATAAACTTTAACTACATAATTTACAGATTTAGAGAAGACAACCATTGACCTGAGTGAGCTCTTTTGGACTAGTAAATGCATAAGTGCTTTTATACTTTGAGCTGATAAAATACAGTGTTGGAGAGTTTTATTAAAACATGAGAAAATTAAAGTGTGGAAAAAAGTTTTTTCCATACACAACTTCAAAGAAACAGTCACATCCAACTTTTAACATTAAGTATGAGGCTTTTTTATCCCACTCAACACTGTAGTCTCAGCTTCAAACTATTCTGCAGATATAGCGAATAGATCTCAAAGCTAGAGTAGAGATGTAATATTTCCTTCTTGTGGCTCCCCTCATAGATGTGGGATGGTTATAATTCAGCTTTTGTATAGACAAAACCAAGTCTGAACCCTGTTCATACGCAGACTTTATCGTCATGTTTTAGAGGTTAACAAAAGGCGGACTTTATTATGGATCACGACATATGTAATGAACATATGTCACAAAAAGACAAAAGCAAGGCAAAATCCAAAAATGAAAGGTGTACTTTTAACTGTAATACTGAGTATAAAGCCTCTCGCCGTATGTCACTGAGCTGATACATTAAAATGTTTATAAAAACTTTTAAAAAATTGAATTATGTACTTTTTTTTTTCTCTCACTTTGTAGATAATTATTTGATAGCTACTGTATAAATACGATGTTATAGCAGATATATAAATGATAGTCTTCTATAAAAAGTCTTCTTACACTTAATTTTAACTTATTTTTCATGCAATCTGTGTTGTCATCTCTGGACTGTATTTTCCTGTGCTTTTTTCTTATGTATTGCACCATAGAAGTATAAATATTTAATATCTATTTGCATTGACTTGACTTATTGTATTGGAAGTTAAACTAAATGTGACAATTATGCTTAACTGACTGAGAACGGTTGAAAAATGTACCATAGCTCCTCTCTGCCATTCCCTGCATCATTTTTTCATCCTTTCAACTTAGACCAAAGTTTAAACCATGCTTTGCAGACTGCTGAGCAGTAGATTAAAATATTTCATAACGGCCATCATGTTTTCAATCCATAACCATGTCAGAGCTCCTGTGAGCTGCGCCAGCCAACAGGATCATAATATAAACCACATGGTGATTAGATCAGCTGATTCTTAAGGAGACACAAGCCCTTAATTCATTTCGCCTGGTTCGGCTAATATGTTTTATGGCTTTATTCTCATAATGCTGTAAATCCTAAGTATATACGGCGAAAATAAAGCAGATTTAATAACAAATGATATCCTCCCTATTTTTGCAGGACCCCAGCTACTGGGTTCAGGTGCACAGGCTGGAACATGGAGATGGAGGCATCTTGGACCTTGATGACATGCTATATGATGTTGTGGATGACAAAGATAGGGTGAGTGAAAGCATGCTTAGCCACCTGAAATAGAGGTTTGTATTGGTATTTGTGGAATCATGAGTTTGCATGTTCTCCCCATGCATGAGAGGGTTCTCACTAGATACACTGACTTCCTCCCACAGTCCAAAGCATGCATTTCAGGTTACTTGGTGAGTCTAAAATGCCTCTGTGAATATGTATGATTATCTGTCTCCTGAGTCTCTGTATAGCCCTGTTATGGACCAGCAACCTGTCCGAAATGTATCTCATGATCACCCAGTGACATCCGGGACAGGCAAACAGCAAAGTCCTCTGTTACTTTGATATGAGAGTTTGCATATGTGTTTCTGCATTTACCAGTATATAAATAAATTTGCTGCCAGCGGTGCTTTGCAGAAAACATAAGCACACACTCTTCAATCAAACTGTGAGCAGTTTAGTCAATACTTGGATATTGTAATGTGCCTACATCGTTCGAGCTATAAGTTTTTCTTTTTAGGTTTGGCCCTTTTAAGAATAATGGACCCTTGCCATTTCCCCTTGAATAATAGGATGGCTGAGATGAAAGTCATTGACCAGGTTTCATTTCAGGTTTCATTCGACGAATAGAAGTTAATTTGTTTGTTTTAGTTTATTTAATGACAGAATAAAGTCAGACATTTTTTCTTATTTGAACATTTTTCCTTAATCTAATGGTTACATTTATTCTGCCCATATAAGATATGTGTCTAAACTGTAACTGCTTCGGGTTTTATCCAAACATTTTTGGCAACTATATCTCTGATTGTGTGTTTTGAGCAAAGTATGTACCATTAAATGATGCAAAAGATCTGAGATGAAAAACATTTTAGAAAGAGTATGTATCAAATTTGATACATTATTTCATAATAGGATTAAAAACAGTGGATTTCTTGAGGTACAGTTTAGAAGTGGCATATATCCTATGTCTAATAGTCATGTTTGAAAGTGGAATACAAAGTCTTACTGGTGATCTATTTTATTTCATATGGTTTTTACTTATGTGTCAAACAAAAGGAGTGTAAACGCATGTGCATCTACGGCCCGGATAATGACTTGTTGGTTCCATGGTTACACATCAAGTTGGATGAGTGGGAGAGCAGATGTTTTGCACCTGCTCCCAGATTTACTCCCTTCTCTATTTTCTCTTTCATCTCAGCATTTCATTTTCCCTCCTTCAACATCCTCTGTAGTTGTTGGCAGGAAAATATAAGAAGAGAGAAAAACCTTGTTTTGACCAAACCACTGGAGGAGTGCTTGTGGAGCTATGTTACGGATACAATCATTCATTCATTCATGGACCTTATTGGTTATTACTTATTATTATGAGGAGCCAATTCCAGCAGACATTTGGTGAGAGTACATCCTGGACAGATTGCCAGTCAGTCACTGGCAACAAACACAACCACACACAAACTCACACATACGTTACTTCATCTATGATGTTTTCTAAATGTCCATCTTATTGTTCCAGTTCTGTGATTGTTTGCTCCCCCTGCTGGTTAAGTCAACTAAATGCTCTCATTTTGAGGATATGGCATTGATATATATTTTTACTGCTACGTTTTCTCTCGTAATTGTCAACAGCATTATATCGATTTGTTTCCAAAGTTATTGTGCAGCTCAGAAGACCAGCTTTATTATGAGACAGCCTAGGAATTAAATAGTTATATTTTGATGCCAAGACTTATTATAAAACACGGCCGGTGGTGGGCTGTGTCAACCAGTTTTTATCAGCTGTGGTGTTTTTGAATGTGTGTATGCATGCATAGATTTAAAACGCTCCGTGGGTGTTTTGTCCTTTGTCTGATTGTATGTTTTAGTGCGTCTGTGTGCGCGTTTATACAGTTGTGGAAGCAAGCCAGTTGTAGAGGCAAAGCAAGTCTGTCCAGTTCTTTCCCGAAGCTGCCACCTCCTTGCTTGCTTCACAGTTTTATTACAAAATAGGTACCAACATAGTCTTTTATTATAGATTGTAGTTTTTTTCACTTTTAGTTAGTTAGTTCACTTTTAGAGTTGATGGACAGGCTTTTTGCAATTACTCCCATTTATAATGCACATGAGTTGGAGAGCCTTTTTATAAGAAGTGCCTTCCCTCGATGCCCTTGACAACGAAAGGTTTACAGCAAAATATGATTTGGGACAGCAAAGACTTTGTTTTTCCTCAGCTTTTGTTGACACTGATGTTATCTGCTCTCAGCTATGCTACTCTTGTGGAGTGAGGCACTAATTCTGTTTTGTCAACCTAAGTTAGCATTAAGTTTCATTACAAAATGTTCCCTGGTGAAAATCACTGTGCCCAATTTTTTGGAGTTTAGACCAGCAGACCCATAAATTACCACTGTTGTGTAGTGCCTGTGACAAACCAAAGGCTCCACTTTTTAATTTTTAATTTTTTTTAGAGTTTTGGTGAAGAATTACACTTACAGTTAAGGTATGGCCTCTGTTCAGCAGCAGTAATTTATCTAATTAAAATACAATAACATAGTTGCTGACTTCTAAGATAATTTGATGTAGACCCACTCCTAATTTTTCAGTCCCAATGTAAATGCAAAACTATAACTTCGTATGTTGTGTTGCAAGTTCCAGTACCCAGGAGCACCCAAGTGTTCAAATAAACAGGTCTTGTGCGTGTATGTGTCAGTAGGATGTCTGGCTAAGGTTCAGCAAACAGATCACCATGATGTAATCATTTGCAGTTGGAGCTGCTGCAAGCTTCAGCATGTCTATTTCTGCTCCACAGGTTGTCACACTGACTGCTTTCCTGATCTATTTCCTTTCGACATGCATGAGAAACATAAATGTATCTGTTCAGAAGGTTTAGTTTAGGTTTGTATTACTCTCATAGCACATTGTTGCTGTTTAAAACTATTACTTTATCATGAAAACTGTCTTTCTGCATTTAACTCTCTGAAATTCTGATGATTTGTTGGTATTACTTGCTTATAAGTCACCTTCCTCCATTCAGTCAATAAGATTAATTTGGTTAATCTTATTTTTCATGTCCTACCTTGGCTTAGAGTGGTTTTTCTCTGTCAAGTAATATATATTTAATGTATGCATTAGGAGCCGCTGCAATCTAATTGCCTATTGTTTTGGGATTTGCAACGCCCCTTTTGTGGTACATTACTGCCACCATCTGACAAAAATCTTTAATGATTGGTGGATTTGGCAAATAAAAAGGCCAAAAATGTCTGTTTAAAACGTATATTATTATGTTCTCCGTGACCTATTGCAACCATTGTGTTCTATTAAAATAGAGACCAACATTTGGATGCAGTTGCCATTGTATGGTAATGAAAATTTAATCTGTGAGCCAATAAACCTTGACAATGATACTTGTCCAATGACACAGCATTTCTTACCAGAGCCTTCTGTGGAAACGGTGCATTGATCAGGTAAGAGCTGTTTCGGTATAAAGCTTAACCCAACAACATACAGGATCCTTATGATCCACTATCATCACAATGCTAGACACATAAGGAACTCATAGTTTCCCATGCTCACGTCTTGACGCATTCAATCTGTCTAGAATTAATTTGTGGTGGGTTAATGTAAAACATGTCAGATGAAAAAAATAAGATTTTGTCACTTTATCTGGATATGATTCAGCTGACATGGAATTTATAAAATACCCTTTACATTTTGTAGGCTGTTAGGTTGATACATGGTTAATGTGTCAAGTTGAGTATTAGTTTCATGGTTTTGTAAATCTTGGCATAATTGGGACCTTCCTATGCGAAATAGCAGCAGGCAAATTCTTAAGTCAGTCTTAAGTCAAAAAAGACGTCAACTGGCATACAGCTTTAAAAATGTGATTAAATATGAATGAATTCTACTAACAGCCATTAGATGGCAGGAGATTGTTGCAATCCAGGCTAATCATCCATACACCAGATGGCATGCTGACAATATAAAATGACTCTCTTCGCAGAATGGTCTGAGGTTGTGAATTAACATTATGGGTCTATTTAAATCGGGTCATGAAAGCAGCAAACGTCTGTAATTAGAATTAATTAGAGTAAACTTTAATGATAATTGAAGGAAATTTGGGCCTTTCATTAGCAGTCATAATGTTGCTTTAACGATCAGAGCTGTTGTTGCTGCACCAGATAAACTTATTTGTAAGGTCTTTGAATATTTAGTAAATCCTAAATTATACATCACGCTACAAGCAAAAAAATGATTACATCGTGCAAAATAGTCAATATAATAAGAACAGAGAGCATGTAAAACATGTTTTCTGAAGTCACTTTTGATAGATGTGCAACTGCTGTGTTTGAAGGCAATTCACCGTAATAACAACATACTTTTAGTCTCCATGGGAACGCACTTTTCAGGTTCATGCAATGTAGAAAGATTAGTTCTTAAAATACTCTTGTTAAAAGTCAGGTATCGCTCTTGAATTATGTCCTGTTATTTCAATATAATTCCCCCCACTAAATTTTAGCTGTTCTTCATCCATACAAGGGAAACAACATGATCCCTAATGACTTTAGTGGCGCAGTGTAAATCCTCATCATAATCAAAGAAATTTTAATTTTACCAGTATGCAAAGCAGCTGCTCTTTTTTTTTGTTTTGTTATACTAGATTGTGTAGACGCACACAAGTAACAGATGATATGTTAAATAAGTTTGTACGAGTAGTATAAGTAACAATAATTATACATTTTAAAGGACAACTTTGAAATGCATTGTAGTATCACTTGTGGGCCACAAGGAGGCACTCAAGCCCAGGTTATTTTTGTATGTGGTAAAAAGCAAAGAGAAAACACACACTTTTTGCACAGTTTTTGGACAGGTTAAGAACATGTTTCAGAATAAAAATGAAATTTATTTGATGAAAAACAACATAAACAATTATAAATATTGAAACTTTAAGAAAAATAGACTTTTTTTTGTTGAACTGTAGACTTCACTGCATTCTCCATTTGTGCTAATGTGTCCTGTCTTAATGGACACCACATCAGTGGCCCCTGTGGTTGAGCTGGTGGACAATTGGCATTTTTCTGGCGCCTGTTGTTGGCATTTCTATGGCAACAGCGGCTGGTTGCCTTGTGGGCACCTGTGTTGGGTTGAGATCAAGCCGTGAGTGAAATTAGCCAAGGCCAAAGCAGGGTCCCAGCAGCTGCCCCCTGGAACTAGAACACTGCCAGGGGAAATCAACAACTAATTACTCCGTTTGTCAGTGTGTGTGTGTGTGCGTGCACGCGTGTGCCCGCACATGAGCCTATAAATGTATGTATATATGAATGAGCATGTTTTTGTTTGAACGATGCCTCCTCTTTGGGTATCGATTAAGGAAATCTCTTTGATTGGTTGTGCCTTGCTATATGTAGACTCTTCGGGATTTCTATTAACTTGGAATGTAATTTTTTTCGAATGTAGCAACCTGTGTGCGTAACAACAACGTGCATTATTTTTGCCTGTTTTTCCTTATTTTTTCGGAAGAAATACATATCATTATATATGAATATAAACTATCACATTGTGTACTACCATTTTGTAGATTGTACAAATGACTCTTGCACTGTTCCAAATGACTTACTCTTGACTGTCATCAGGTTGTATTTGTCTCTCCAATTTGTACTGGTTTGTATTTGTCTGACTAGCTTTGTAAATCACATTTCCATCTCAATAATATATTTTATGACTAATGACTAGTTTATGGAGATAGTTTCTAAGTTAGAGAAATGGTCAACCACATGTGTAAGCATCAGTTGGGCTTTGCTGGGATTTGTAAAGTGTCTCTTATGATACCTCTCAGGAGATAAATAGACAGTTCAGTTTTTTTGTGTTTCGGGAAAATAAACAGCAACAAAGTCAAACAAAATGACTTTTTGTAATTACTTTACCAAGAAAGAAATAGACACACATCCTCCTCAAACCTCTGATAGTTTCATAAGCCGACCTTGACCCTTCCCTTTACCTCAGAAAGAATTAGGCCGAAATGGTGGAAGAATGCATGCGGGAATAATCAAGGTGTGTTTCACGGTTTTAGTATCATGCACCAGCCTTGTTTCCTCACAGAAAAAAACCTTTTAATTAGATACATTTCCCTGAACTAAGACTCCGATTAAAACAACTACTCTATATGACCATTCCAATTTGGACGTATTGCTGCTGATTAAACAAGAAACACATGCCGACATTTGCACATACTAACAAGGCCAGTAAGGCCATACCATGTCTACGCCTTGCATACTAAAAAAGCTATCTCAAAATGAAGCAAGACTTTCCACAGGAACACACACCCAGAAATAGCCACACATACATCTTTTACAGCCTGTGAGAATAAGAGTCAGTTCAGCATCTTGAAAGACTCAAGCAGATTTTATCCTCACCTTTGCTGCACTCATCAGAGGTCTGTGGGTGGAAGCAATCAGTTTTTCATTTCATCTTCCTCTGGGGCTTTGGATTTATAGCCTGTTGTTGCTTGGTTTTTATCTTTTGAAGTTGACTTACTTTTAGAGCATTTGTTGAGTGTTGCTGTTCTTTTCGGCAACCCTCACCTCCCCCAGTCTCACTGTTTGGGAAATGTCCACAGTAAATTAGACGGTCTGGAAATTGTTGGTCAGATTATAACCAGTGATCTTTGAATTCAGAAGAATCACCATTTAAGATTAGATTATAGCTGCCAATTTGTCAACTTGGCAAACAGTTTATATTATCTTAATTATACGAATAGCTATTTGTGGTTGTTTATCTTTCTAATGCTTCGAATGGGAGATAATCCAAAGGGATTTTTGTTGTAAAGTACTGAAGCCAATTTTAATCTTTATATTCAACATACTCTCACTACCAATATGTTTGATTTGATGTTGAGTCAACAAGGGGCTAGACTGTTAAATGTACATAAAAAAAACTATTCCTAAAATATAACACTGGGAAAATGAATATGCTTGACAGTTTTCTTCTTATTTTAAAAACTTCATAGGTTCCATGTATGTATATACATTCTTCCATGCAAATTCAGCAAATTCATATTAATAGTAAACCACCAACATCCACCCTCAGTGGGATCCTAAATGTGAACTAATTTGGACACATTTTTTAAAGAAATAAAGAAAGGGCTTACATTAGTTACTCTTAATTTTGAAATTGAATCTCCAAAATGTTGCTAAAATCAGCATAGTTACGTCTATGTGAACATGAAGACGATTTGTGTTGAGGAATACAGCATGGTGATTCCAGTGAATCCATTGTTTTAGAGCTGCTGAGCCACCAGCGTAGATAATATTTGTGTCTTGTTGACAAAGCCAGAGCTCAGCTGCACAGCATATGCAGCATGACATACACTTCTCTTTGCCTGGGGTAAGAGTGCTATTACTCCATATTGGAAAGCACCAGGCAACTCCTCCATCTGTAAAACTGGCGAAATCAGGTCATGTCACCATGCCTGTCATTTAGCTTGGCTTGGAGGATATCCAGCTAGAACAGAGGTGTCTTTGAATTTTCCTCCATGACAGCTCTCCTACAAGAAGGATTTTCCACTACTGTGTCAAATAGCTGTTGACATGGTGTCAGCATGTCTGAATACAGTCTGGTTTCACCAAAACTGTAGATGGGCATAGCAAAAAAAAAAAGAAAAAAAAAAACTATTCATTTTACAGTACAATTGTAAAAAAAATGATAATGCAGATGTTGAAACATACCAGGAGATTACCCAAATATATTTGTGCTGTTTATGTGCATGTCATGCAGAAGGATGTCTGACCTGGTCGACAGCTGTCAGAGCTGCTTTGGTTCCAACGTCTGGATACGTTGCCAAATAAGCCTATTATCTGCAGTGTCAGAGTCATGTGTAGGGGCTTGGCATTGCCACAGGGGGCTGATTTAGGTCAGCAGCTACAAAGACAGGCCCTAAATGGAGATGACAGATACAGGCCCCCTGCTGAGATCCTGCTGGCCTTCCAAAAATCCCTGCAGGAGAAAACCCAGAAGCACTAACTTGACAAAGATTTTTTTTATTTTTTTCCTGATATGTGGTGAATGCTGTACCCAGTAAACTCACTGGCGGCATGCGGGGGAGATGTAGGCCTGTTTTTTTTCATTTGGGACTGCTTGAGTTGTTTTAATCATCCTGTTTCATTTTTTTGGCCTATTTTGGACCTTTTCCATCTCTCCTCATTGGGGCTGTGCATTCCTTAAATGGCTTGAGAAAAAGATAGCCCTACTTGGATTTTTTTTTTACAGAGTCACAACCAAATCAACAGAAATTGGATTAAAAAAAAAATTATTTTAAAGAATAAACAATTTCTTTTTTCTTGATTTAACCTACTTTCCTGTCACCCCATAGCCTCTCAACTCATTGTTAAACCAAGAGACTGCCTCCTTTGCATGACAAGTATCCCTCTGTAGCTTTTGTCTCAAGAGTCTCCAGACCGTGAGTGGCTGTTTTCAACACTTGACTACTTCTCTCAGAACTATATAATTACCCTCACGGATCCAAAGTCAGTTCAAGGTTGCATGTGAAAATTTACTTTCAAATATACTTTGAAAGGATACGCTCTCCTTTGGACTAAGTTAATTTGTTACAGGCAGTGACAGATGCCAGGCAAGTAGAGATTTGTAAAGGTGTGTGCTTTTGAATATTTTAGCCATTTGTAAAGTTTGGAGTCTGGGCCAGATACTAATAGGGGAAGAATCTCATAAGCACCGTTGTAAACAGAATTTGATAATGTTTGTCCATAATGAAATTCAGTGTTCTGTTTGTTTTTATGTGAATATTTAATAACTGTGAATGCTAAAACAATGAGAAACTGGCAAATAAGAGTAAATACACTGTAAAGTCAAATGATAAATAATTATCAGAGTGGGGAAAAAAAGCATGGTAAGAAACAGGAAAAATACTTAAAGGTAGACCAGACAGAGTCTAGACAGGAAAGATGTCGGGAGCGGGGAGCAGTTTAGAGAAAGTCATCGCCACAAGTCTGGCACTGGGAACTGGCACCGTACAAAGCTGAAGTTGACTCTGGCACAGAGAAGGAGGGATGTGGTGCCAGGGCTTGGAAGCTAAGCTCGGTTTAGAGAGCTTTAGACAGGCATATTGTAGTACACAGAGCTGAATCCTCCATAACACTATGCCTGTGTGCACTTAGTGCTTCCCTCTCATGAGAAAAGGCTAAAGACCTCTTCAGATTATGTTGTGCTCTGCAACAGTACTTGCGGCTTATAAACTCGAAACGCCATGATTTTTCTTTCTTAAATGCTAAAACAGACACATTTTTTTTCTCTCATATTCAAAATTGAATTAAAATAGTCATAAATGAGTCTTGCTGTATGATCTACAGCTGCTTTTGATGAATTAATCATGAGTCTAAAAACACGAAAAAATCTGGTTTTGAATTAAAAATAGCAACTTATTATTTGAGCCTCTCAAATTTGCTATGAATATTGTTCAAGATAAAAACAACATGTGATTAGTTCACCTTTTTTACATATCAAGCATGGTAATCTTAGAATAAATTAATAAATAAATTACAATATAAACAAGGATTATTAGGTAGTGCATCGACAAACAGTACATACAATAAATACCTAAGCATTAAAATAAAAATTAAATTTATGAAAAAATATTCCGCCCATAGATGATTGTCTGTCCTCAGTCTGTTTTCATTTGATATCAGGAATACCAAAAGCTGCATGCATTATAATAGAGAGCATTTGAAGGTCAGTGGGCCAATTTGCGAAAATATATTTCATCCCTGTCTTTTTGCCCAGCCGGGGTTTTTGCCTACAGAGAATTTTAAGTGGAGCTGTTGTAGGCCATTCTCACTAATATGTCTTCCCCCTTTTTTGTTTGTGATTTTAAAAAGAAGCTTTCTCATATCCTCCAGTGAAAATGCACGCACGTGCATTCGCGTGTACTGTATGTGTGAGGTTGGTATTATATAGAAAATCTTGAGCGTCCCATCATGAAAGCCTTATGTCTCTTCTACAACAGATGTGCCACAGCCTAAGGCCTACGAGTTGAAGCTCGTTATCTAGATGTGGTGTGTGTATGTATGTCAGTGTGTGTGTCTTCCCATTTGAAAGTCAGTGGGGAGTTTTCCTTTAAAGGCTCCAATGATAGATACTCATTTATCTTTGAAGACACTCAACCATCAGCGTACACATAAACGCATACATGCACACCCCTGATGATTTGGTATATTATTACGCCGCTGTGCCAGGGATGCTGTATTGGATACTTGTATTAGAGTAAACGTCTGCCTTGAACATTCTTTACTGTATTCTCTCAGTGAGAGTCTGAAAGATGTCATCCTGTCTGGGTTAAAGATCATTATATGTATATACTAATTCATAGTGACACTGCCAGTGTGGCGTTGACCTTCCGATGACACTCCCTAAAGACACAGCACAGACAAAGACTACTCTACAGCCTTCAGAAAGATGTTATTCGAGTAGTCTCTATGACTTTGAGATAATCAGTATCCATATATTTATACTGACAGCTAGAATACAGGTAAAGACTGCTCAGTTTAAATGAGATAAACCCTATGTGAGACATTCTGTCCTATCTGATATAAGCTGATGTAGGTCTTGGGCTAAAGCAACTGATGGTATGTGGCAGCCTTTTTCCCCCCAAAATGAATAATAATAAAAAGATTTCTCTTTTTCCCCCCATTTCTGATTGCACAACAGTCGTGTTAACAATAAGGTGCCTTAAATTACCCTGTCTGATAATGTCCACCTTGATATTTTCCTTTATATAGAGTCTCAGTTAATATTAGGAGGGCAGTCAAGTGTCTCACACAGAGAAGACTCCCTGGTACTCCCAGATAATTGCTGTATAGCTATGTTGTCAGTGGCACACAAAAATGTAAGTTGAATTTAAATAGCTTCAAGTTCAAATTAAAGAGAGATTTGTTTAGGTTCTATAACAGTTAGGCCTCTACGATAGTTAGGTCTTCAGATATGTACCAACCCCCGCTTATTCTGTAGACTATGCATTGCTTTTATCTCCTTGAGGGAAATGCCACTCCTGATTCCAATGATGCAGATGATCATCTAATTTCTAAAAACTAAAATCACCACAACAGATTGATGCGGACATCTGTATTTCCTGCTCTTTAATTTACCCCATGAAAAAGTTTGCGTCCACGTTGTTTGGTGCACACATGTTCCAGAGTGCTACATTAAGCCAGTTGACCCATTCTCCCACTGCTAAAATCCATCCATTAGAGTCTTTCATTTGATTTAATATGACAACATTTAGGTTTTTGTTAACCAAAGTAACAACTCTGCAACTATTGCTCGATACTGAGTTGTGAAAGACATGGCCAATCCAATTACATGTAGTTTTTAAAGCGTCCTCCTGGTTCTTGAAATTCGTTTCCCAAATAGACACAATATCAATGCCATGAGATTGTCCCAATCCCTGCCGCTCTTGCATTTTTTAAATAAAGTTCCACTCATCATCGTCGTCATATCCGTTTGCACATTATCTATACCAAGTGCGAGGGCTGGAGCCAATCCCAACTGACATTCGGCGAGAGGTGGGGTACTCCCAGGACAGATAATGGTGGTTTTATTCCACAGTCAAATATTCTCAGTGTTCTAAATCTTTTCCTGTAGTATTCTCCCTTCTCCGGATCTGAAAAAGCTCAATCTCTCACGTGTAACCCTCAGTTACAGCTTGGTTGGATAGTGTGTGTGTCATCTGACATACAGAGACTTGATCACTGGGGACAGCTATCTTCACGGGTTGGACCATTCCCTGTAAATGCTTTCATCAATACAGATGGTGCCGTTTTCTCACCCTATCCCTCCCTCTTTGCAGCCACCACCACTTTCTGCAGAGTGCGGAAAATTCCCCAGTATCATCAACTGTTTGTCACTCTGCTGTGGTCCTCTCGTATTGTGGCCCCTCTCTATCTCAAGTATTTTGTTGTCAGTAGCTATGCTATCGGTGCTATATTCAACATCAACAATGCCACTTCCTGCTTCTTCAGTCTTGGTTTGCAAAGCACTCACTGCTTTCTTCATCTCGCCACTTTATTCAAGGTTAAGTTCATCATCACAACATGATCCCCCACTTCATTTCTTTCTTTCATTTTTTCCTTTGAGATTTGTGGGGCTAGTAGGGCACGCTTACGCGGTAGTTGTGGTCATCTTACAAGTTTGCAGTCCTCGTTTTCCCTGGTTCATTTTGTGGCTCAGGCCTAAGCAACTCTCTGTAAGTTTCGACTGTGGCGATATATTATTTATATCTAGGCCTTTAGTGGTGCCCGGTTTAGAAAAATTGAATATTATTTGGAAGGCTACATTTCCCTCTCCAAAAATCGTATTTTTACGCAAAATCCATCCTTCTTTCTATCCTAAAGAAGAGTTTAATTACTCTGTCGTACAAATTATTTATGTATTTCTTTTTTTATCAAGAATCCCTTTCTATTGCCATCAAAGCTAAAGCTGAAAGTTGAGCTTGACCTGTCATATTTCTGGTTTAAGGTTTAAATAGCTTTAGGTTTAAAAAAGGCCACTTGACAGAAGCAGTAGACATGGTGAAGGTGACCACAAACATAGCCATAGAATTTGCGGTGTTCCTCAGAGCCTTTGAGCCTGGGTCATAGTTGGTAGATCGAAAGTGGCGGTCCACTTAACGCATTTTCCGACCTTTTTCAATGATGTCCAGCTTTTCTTGAAAATGGCTTAGACGATAAATCTGTCACCAAAGCCGTTTCTTCTCCTTATTTGGCCATCGTGGGTTGGCCAAACTATCTTTGTGCTTTTGCACCTCTCTACAAATGCAGTTCGCTGGCTCTGGGTAGTATGTTTTCTGACTGTCCAATCAAAGGGTGTGAATACTCTCACGTTACCATACGACTACCAGAGGGCCTTGGTGTTGTCAATTCAAAATTTTATTCATGCTACAGGGCCCACATAACTGATAAAATAATAGCTGAATAATAATAATTTTAGGATAAATAATAGCAGCTTAAATGGGATTGGTTGAATACTTTTATAATAAATATATTTTTCCTCCGAACACTGCCTGTAACCCTGCTTTAAATTAAATATCTACCGCTAATACTTTGTGAAAATACCTTTTTTCCCCAGACAGTGCCTGTAAAATGGTGCATTAGAAAATAAAGTAAAATCAAGCTGCAGTCTAGCTTGCAGTCCCAGTGTTGTTGTTTTTTAGGAGGGTAAATGTTTTATTGACATGAAGCTCCTTAAAAAATCAATACGTATATTAGCGTATATCAGTGTTTAAAGCGTGGAGAAAACATCACAGCTTGTAGTCTAGAGTTAATGGTAATCACTTTAACATAGCAAATAGTTAGAACATCAAAAAGCTAAATATTGATGTGTAGTGCCGAATCTTTTCATTGATAGTCCTTGTGCAGATTTTGTGTTACGTTTCAAGCATGACATAAAGCAAGACCTATGGAGATAAGATACATTTTATATGAACACAATTGAGTCAAGAAACAATATTAAACAAAGCAGTAAAGAAGTTGCACCAACAAGTTTGACTTAATTTACTTCTTTTGACAGTGCATGTTTATCTTATTCCTATATTGGGATGTGTGTTATGCACATATTTTTATATCATGGCTGAAGTCCACAGGACTACCAAGCACCCTAAGTTCAGTAACATTTGGTTAAATGTGAAGTAACAAAAACAGCATGAAAATGTAAGCCAATGGAGAAATAAATCAAGAACTTAACAATAACAGCAGTTGAAATGTTAAATTCTACCAATTTCCCTGTACTACTTAACAGAAAACATCATTTTAGGAGTAGAATATCATGCTAGATGCATTTCTCAATTCTCAGCTAATTTAAGGACACACAAAGGTTGATCCCAAAGGTTATGGATACTCTAGGTTGACAACTATATGTCTCACTAATGATCTGCATGTATTATCTTTGCAAAGGTAGTATCTTAACCCATCCATCCAGGATTTATTTCTGTAAGAGCATCTCATGCAAATGAACTCTTATACACTTACACACTTAAGTGTATAATAAACTTACATGGAGTGTTATTGAGTTGAATCAATGAGTGGTGAGTTGAGGAGTTGAAAATAATTGGTATGCATGTACTTCATTTCAAAATCATCTTACTTTAAAGGGAGAGAAGTTTTTTTCTGATACATACTGAACATCTCCTTGCTTCGCATTGACTCATTTAACTCTTGAAGAAGCATGTTTAATGATGGCACACATCAGAAGAACTATAATCACCTCTCTAGGGTGTCAGTATGATCCATGAGCTGAAAGTGGAGCTTTTGGTGCAATGATAGACTCTCCTATGATTGTACACATATTCAAACTGCGGCAGGGGGCACTGTGGTTTCACTGTTGCCGCTTGTTATTAGACCGACTGTTGAATAAGGTCATATTCCCCAGTAAGCGCAAAACCTTCCCTGTTTTTCTCACTGCCACATTTGCAGAATCACTTTCAAAATGTTCAACTGTTGAAGGGAATTGAATATATAACAAAAGTTTCTATACATGAATGTATGCAACAATAAAATCCAGTGGGACATTCATCTGTAGTTTTTATTAAAAAAGTGAGGTCTGCTAAGTTTTTGTAAAATCATTTTAAGTCAGTCATTAGCTTGCTGTTTTTCTTTAGGTATCAAGGGATATCAGATGACTAACATATTGAAGCATGTCTGCTTATTAAGGGCTTAAGATAATGGATATTCAATAGCAATGGTCCATGTCCGGAAACTTACAGCATTAAGGATTACCATGGATTCCTTTAGACACTGATTTTAGGCATTTTTCAGAACAATAATGTCAAGTCTAAGAAAGCACGGGTTTTGCACACTTGGATAAATGTCTTACAGGGTTTGAGTCTCTAAGCACAATCATCACGGACAACATAAGCATAACAGCATTCAAACAAACACAGGCCATCTTCTCCTTGGCCATCACCTTGCAGTGAAAAGTGCACAAAACAGCCTTTCTTTAGAGACAGATGGAAAGGGGGAATGTCCCATTTATTACACAATGTCTTCCTCCTTTTCCTCCTCCGCAGACAGTTGCCTTACACCAAGCGTGAAATGGCTCCAAATGGTTTCCTTTGTCTATTGGCAATGCTGCAGTTATGGTTTACATAAAGCCTGCTCTCTGTGCTTGCAAAATGCTTGTTCCATATGTTAAACATGCTGTTTTTATGTGCAAGAAAATATCTAATAGCAATGGGACACCACTCGCATGAGCACAATTGAACTGTGCACGTGTGTGTTCACATAAATAAATAAATACATTGCAGCCAGAAACTGTTTTGATATCACTGTTCTAAAATGTATCAAATTGTTATGATATTGTGTGTGATCACACCATGTGCTGCAGAAAAGATATTTTCCATGCTGAACCTTTTTGTGTTTTTTGGCCCTATGAACGATCTAATATGACTGATCCGAAGGGTCTTCTTTTTTTTTTTTGTAAATCTTATATACTTACTTTTGGTAGTTGCAGCTGGAAGATGGCTTATATATTAGTCTTTCCACTAGACATATTCCTTCTACAGTAAGACATTATTTTCTCCTCTCGATGAGGAAATATGCACTCAGTGTACTTTAGAAAACTTCCTCTAGCGCTTTAAAGCCATAAGACCTCAGCTTCCCCACTCCCACCATACACATCTATGAGGCATTGCTCATTGGCAGTTCTACACAGCTCTGGGAGCCTACGCTTTGAAAGCCTAATGGCCCAACGCTGGTTAACTTTCAGGCTTATACTCCTCTTGATGAACTCCGACAGCCATCACTGTTGCTCTTATCCCTTCTTAAACCTGCATTGTGCTGGAAAGGTTTAAAAATGAGGAGTGAGAGGATTGTCAATAGATAGAGAGAGGGTAGCTGGGTGGTACACTTGGGAGAAACGTGTTAACAGGCATTTACATTTAAGCTCAAATCTCTGGAATAATGGACATTGTAGAAAAGAAACACATGCAAATTGTGCTGAGCAGATTTATACAATCTGAGAGAAGGATTGACTTACACTCTCCGATGATTGCAGTCTGTGTAAAGTACAGTCATGTAACCCGGAGTTGTGCTGCACCTTAGGATGAGTCACCCGAAATGTAGACTGAGTAGCTTTAAGATGAAGAGCATTTGCAGAACATATCCACTTTGACACAAGAGTAAGAGTTTAAAAACTCTTCCGATTATGAGCAGACATAAATCCAGATTGCTGACATGTGCAACAGCTGTTAAACCACCAACTACTTTGGTGTAAGGACCTTGAGTTATTTATTTATGATTTATCTATCTATTTTCAATATGCCAAAAATGAAATGACAGTAACAGTCTCAGACAAATAAAAAGACAAAAAGAATATTTAGAGACTGAAGAAAGAAATAACTATTTATTTTTTCATATCCGAAATATAGTGGGAAAAAGTTCAAACGTATTTTTTAACATCAATTATCTTAGTCATTCACTTTTAATTTATATAGTTATTCCATAATTAATAACAAGAAAGCTTATTTGATGTGCCCTATGATATATAAACACCTGATAATTGGTATTTATAACTATTAGAAATGCAATCTCAGACATTTCCACAAGTTTAATTTTATTTCCATTGAAAGATATTTTACTTAAAAGTATAAACTACAGCTATCTGTTGCCAAAACGTATGACAAGGGAACAAATAGATCATTGATGTAAAGATGAAGTTCACTTACAGATAATATCAAAAGCTATCAGGAAGCCATTTATTTGTCATCATATTCCATTTATGTTGTATATTGTTTCAATACTTTTTTGTCCATGTAGCAGCATCCAGTAAAGCTTGTACTTGCTGCTGTTTTATGGTCAGTCGACAGCAAAGCCTACCAATCAGCCTGCCATCAGCCTTTACAGCACCATATTTCACTGTTCCATATCCTTGTGACCTGCAATCCCCATGATGACTTTTTTCCCTCCCAAAAGACGGACTTTTTTTCTCCATCGAACAAAAGACACAGAACCATAAAGCTACTTAGGAAGAAATGGTTGTTTCCTGCCTGGGGCAACTACTTTTTATTGCCAGCTGTGAAAAGATCTTATTGCATTGCCCTGATGTGCAGAGTGAGGGTACATTTTAAAGCTGTTTGTGAAAGTAAGTAGAGGAGAGCTGTCTTCGTGGTGTGCA